CTTTTTTTCTAAGAATTGAAAATAACAAATCATTATAGTTTTTTTTTCTCACACAATCTTACAAAAGAATTTAAACAAAGAGATTATTTTATCATTAACCCTTAATCTCTGAATTTGTGACATGGATTTGCTGTGCTTAAAATTTGGAAAAGTCCAAATTGAATTTTAACAAAGTACATTGAATTTGAGCTACCAGGAGTATCATTAGAACCTGGTCATACTGAAAATTCGTACTGGCTCAGGCCTGGCTCAATACTCAATATTTGTCTGTCTGTCCATCTGTCTGTAAACTTTTATTTTAAACAACAACTCCTCATAAAATGCTAAGCCAATTTCATCCAAACTTTACAGGAATGTTCCTTGGATCAGGTCAGCTTTAAAATTTTTTCAAAGAACTAAATTCCATTCAGAATTCTGGTCGCCATGGCAATTGAAAGAAAAATCTTTAAAAATCTTCATTTAAAAAACCCAAAGAGCTAGAGCTTAGATATTTAGCATTGGGTCTCTACCAAGTTTGTTGAAATTAAAGCCCTGGAGTCTAAATTGGCCCTGCCCCAGGGGGGAGTGGTGATTTTCCTTATATGTATATAGGCAAAACAAACAAAACAATTCTTCTGTTATACTATAGAGGCTTTAGCTTAGATATTTGAAATGAAACTTTGTCTCGTGGACCTCTACAATAATTGTTCATATTATAGCTCTTGGGTCAAAATTGCAGCGCCCCTTGGGAACATAGATTTACCTGATATGTATTCAGTATAGTAAAAATTAAAAGAAAAATTCTTCTCTTAATCTACAATAAGTAAAGCTTAGTTTCCATAGCAACCAGTGACTTCATAGCAGCCATTGACTTTTCATAGCAAACTGTAAATTTTCATTGCAACCAGTGACTTCCATAGCAAACATTAACTTTCCATAGCAATGAGTGAACCTACCATTGAATTTCATAGCAGGCACTGACTTCCAAGAATTTATTTGTATAGCAAACAGTGACATCTTATGGAACTGTTGTTTTCTCATAGCAGTAGCAATCGTTTAATTTAATACACATGCACTATTTCAGAATGATGCAAATATGAACTTTGTGATATCAGTTAGGTTTAGATTTTATATCTGCTTTTATTTATAGTTAACAATATTACTTGTTCCTTGTCATGGAGAATATTCATATTCAGGTGAGCGATATTAGGGCCATCATGGCCCTCTTGTTAAGATTCCAGCTGGTGATCACTTGATCGAAAGGTATGTCCCTCGCTTTCTGGATGCTTTCTGTTGAAGATATTAACCTACTATGCAATGATTTCATAGTTAAATGAAAGTTCCTGGGCTGCCTTAGTCTTAGGCTCTATGCTGGTGGCAAAGGCTAATCATTCAGTAATTGCCTGTTCTTTTCTTTTTCAAAAGCACACAAAAACCCAGATGAAAACAGTTTTCAGAAATGACTTTAGGTTGCGGATGTTATTTATTTTAATTCACTGTCAGAATTAAAATGCTCATTTTATGAGCTATTTCTTTGCAAGGTCATTTGAAACTGGTGTAAAAGCATAGAATATTCAACATTTCTATTTGCTAGATTTTTTTCTCTCTAAAATTTGTTAAGTTCTGCTGGTCCACTAACAATGTATGCATGATCTATAGAAGTTTCTTGGATTGGTTTCAGCTCAATAGCTTAAATTTACTAACAGCTAGTGTAAAATAGGAACATTATGCGAAGAAGTATCTTGGACTTTTAGGCGGAGGTCACCAGTGATAAAAATAGAAATTTAGTTTGTGTCAAATTCCTTTAGTGGTGAAAAAACTGTTGGTGATCAGTTCTAATTTTCTGTGTCTGTTGGTGTGCAATGGACCTCTCACAGATAATATCTATTGTTTTCACATAATTTAGATAATGAAAACCCCTGTGCTGTTTCAAATAGGTTACCAGTTATGAACCCAGACTAACCACTTTAACAGAACAGTTAGTACCTTGCATTTAAGTCCAGAATAGCTCGGGTAGTTATGAACATATTGTTGGTAATCCTAGACTCCGCCCACTCTCAGAGAACAGTGGGGATTAGCACAGCTTGGGTAGTTATGAACATATTGTTGGTAACCCTAGACTCCGCCCACTCTCAGAGAACAGTGGGGATTAGCACAGCTGGGGTAGTTATGAACATATTGATGGTAACCCTAGACTCCACCCACTCTCAGAGAACAGTGGGGATTAGCACATCTGGGGTAGTAATGAACCTATTGTTGGTAACCCTAGACTTCACCCACTCTAGAAAACAGTGGGGATTAGCACAGCTTGGGTAGTTAATTATTGAACCTATTGATGGTAACCCTAGACTCCGCCCACTCTCAGAGAACAGTGGGGATTAGCACAGCTGGGGTAGTTATGAACATATTGTTGGTAACCCTAGACTTCGCCCACTCTAAGCGAACAATGGGGATTAGCACATCTGGGGTAGTTATGAACCTATTGATGGTAACCCTAGACTCCGCCCACTCTCAGAGAACAGTGGGGATTAGCACAGTTCTGGTAGTTATGAACCTATTGATGGTAATCCTAGACTCCACCCACTCACAGAGAATAGTTGGGAACAGCACAGCTTGTGTAAATTTTCTTCCTGGCAGAGAACAATCAGCTGCTAAAATTCCACCAGTTTCCCTGAACATTGCAGTTCAGACCATATCCTTTTGGCTGATTTTGGTACAAAACATGAACCTTTGCATTGACAAAAACAGCATGGGGGCAGCTGGAAGATAAAAAGCAAGGGCTATTTCTCCTGTATTTTCCTCACACCTCTGGGGATGAGAGGAGCCAAGATTACAAATGGCTGTTGCATAGAAATAGCAAAAACATGCTTAGTTCTAAATAATCCAGGAATTCTTTTTGAGTCCTTGTCTGCCAAAATACAACTTGTGCTCAATACACCATTTGCTATCCACCTGCATACCGGGTATTGAGAGAAAACAATGGAATGAGGTAGCATCTGTGTCCTAGGGAAAATGGTTCTTTTGGAAAATTTTATTCTCCAAAAATGTATTAAAAAAATGCTTTTACAATAAAACGTGTGCGGTTTTCTTTCCTCTTTCTTATTTCTTGGCAAAATGTAAGAAAATTGATTCTAATGTCAGTGTAAGAGGGAATTGTTTTTGTTTATTGCATAAAAAAATTCTTCTTTCAAAATAATTAATCATGGTGAAGTCTCGTGGGTGACTTTCTTCATTTGAAGACTATACTTTTTCCAATTAATTTATCGGAAAATCATTTATTTACAATAATATCTACTATAGTTAAAAGTAGAAACACATTTATAGAGGCCGGCCTTTCCTCTAATTTCTATAATAGCCCAAGAATCTATAGACAAATTTGGAATAAATTGGTTTTCATCACAAAACATCTGTCGGAAAATAATGTATTATGTCTGCTTTAATTTGTCCAACGGTTCAACTATATCATATCTAATAAAAAGAGAAATCACATTTTTATGTTGACTTGCTCAAATACTAAGTCTGTTTATTGCAATTTTCAGTTTATGAAAATTATACTTGTACTATATAAGATATTATTTCAAAATGCCTGTATGCCATAGTTGTGATGCTTGTTATGATATCTAAGTTACAATGCAGTTGATGGTGCTGATGATGTTATAATGATGATTATGTTTTGATGATGATGATGATGATCTTGTTATGATAATTATAATGATGGTGATGATTTTAAAAAAAATGATGATGATATTGTGATGATTATAATGATGATGATGATGTTATGACGATAATGATGATGGTTCTGATGATAATGATGATGATAATATGACATTGATAATGTTTTGATGATAATGATGATGATGATGATGATAATGTTTTGATGATGTTGATGATGATGATGATAATAATGATAATGTTTTGATGATGTTGGTGATGATGATGTTGATGATGATGATAATGATGATGATGATAATAATGATAATGTTTTGATGATGACGATGATGGCAGTGATGTTCAGACACTGTTATTGATGTTTATGAGTGTTATGATAGTCAAGTTACTATTTATGTAGCTCACAATACAATGCCATCTTGCATCATGATTTAATTTTCATAAAAGCTGCTTCACTTCATTATTATTATATTTTCAATTTGCTCTAAGTCATCTCCTCTGTACAAAATTTTTGACATTGAAGTATTGAGAGAAAAAGTCCTAATGTGTTAAAATGTACAAAATGTTTGTATTTACAAAAAAGGAAGAAGCTTGAATGGTGAAGAAGCTATTATAGAAAGCTCTCAAAATGCTTGTAAAAATTGTGATTGCTTTTGATCTTTAAACATATCTTATAGAACTATATTTGTCTTCTTAAATTTCTTGGCATCAAAGCAATTTAAGATTTCACACAGAATATATAATGAAGTCTGGTGAAATTTAAATATTTATAATGTCAGACAATTTATATGTACAGAAGTTGTAGGTAATTCCATGTAACCAATGAACAAAAGTCAAGCTAGATGAATTATTAATGAGACAGACATAAAATCTATATCTTGATCATGTTTTTCTGAATCCTTACCCCACTATATATCTTAATTGGACTTGTCCATCTTTCAATTTGGACAAACAATTCTTCAATATCAGGGATAAGATATTTAAATTATGTACTGACAGAATAGTAGACAGTGCTGACTGATGCTGGTCTGCACTAGTTTTATTAGTTGAATTATTTCCTGCCAGCAGACATAAGGTCAGTCATTACAATGCCAGCCTAGTTCAGTTCCTGCAAAGCCAAATGTTTTTGAACACATGGAATTAAAATATAGACAAAACCCTATACTTTGTTTATAAATTTTTTCGTAATCTATGCCCAGGTATGTATACTGTAAATGGCAGCACTTGAACAAAAGTAAGTTGGAGTTCAGGATGAAGCAAACCTTTTTTTCATGACAATTTATGGTGTACTCTAACCTTAAACATGGTCTTGTCCAGCTTCCATTTTTGGAATTGTCTATTTACATTTGTAGGGATATCAAGATGAAAAAATCAAATAAGCCAACATGTAAACCTGGTCTGAGTGCACAATCAGGGAAATCTAATGTGACTAAATATACTCAATGATACTGTTTCCACTGATATGTGTGGAGAAGTTGACAGTTACATGTGGAGTATGAGGTTAGTACTGGTAGAAACATGCACTCATAGACAAACTCTAAAATGACTGAAATGTATTTAAATGGCACTTAACCCTAAAGAAACAAATGCTTGGAAAACATAATACTTTGATGATTTATAAAAGCAGTTAAAAGTTTTCTTCAAAGTAAGAGAAATGATATTCATGTGGAGGGTTGTATGCCCAGATAATATTTTACAAATGTTTGGGGAAAAAATGGACTTCCTTACTGTGAGAAATTTTCCTTCAGTATTATGAGTGTACTGTCTTTAATTATTTTTCAATTTTTCACGATTCTTAACATTTGATATTATTTTCATCATTGAAAAATATTGAAATTCTAATGTAGCATTGTACAGTGCACATTTTGGCACTGAGCATATTTTTTTACAGAGCATATTTTTGTACTACAAAAGTTTTGTACTGAGCAAATTCTTTACTGAGCATATAATTTCCATTATATTATAGAGAATTGTGATATTTTAATGAATCATATTTAAGTGAATTGTGAAAACTCTCAGTGAATCATAATATCTCAGTTAATTGTGAATGTTAGTCTGCAGTTTAAAATCAAGTATTACCCTAAGAACTACATACATACCCTATAAAGTTATATGTTTGTTATCAAAAGAACTTTGTCAAGGTCACTTTTATTTTAAGAACATTTCTCAATTTCACAAATCTCTATAATATAATGCAAATTATATGCTCAGTAAAGAATTTGCTCAGTACAAAACTTTGTAGTACAAAAATAATTATGATTCGTATAAAAAAAATATGCTCAGTGCCAAAATGTGCACTGTACAATGCTACAAAAACATACTCAGTACATAGATATGCTAAGTACAAAGTACAATGCTATGCTTAGTAAAAAAACATATGCTCTGAGTACAAAAAAAAATGCTCTGATCAAAATAATGGTTTTTTGCTTGCACAGTAATTATGCTAAGCAGTGCAAAGAATTCTTACTACAAAATTTGAGCTGTCCAAGGTCTGTGCAGTAATAAAGTGTGAGAGGAAACAATTGCCCCGAAATAATTTCAATGCCGTTAATATCTTTAGTCCAAACTTATGTTCAGTGCAAATGGTTCTTAGTACAAAATATGCTGTGAAATCATGTAATAATATCTTCTGCCTAGGGGCTTCATTTTGCAGTTTCACTATATCTTTTTTCCCCTACTTAAATTCTTATATTTGATTCAATAAATTGTAAAATTAAGTTAAATTTTGTCTTTGAAACTGAAATTCCTTTAGCTTTTCTAACTTTTTTATAAAAATTTGATTAGATATTTTCCCTATGTTACAGACACATCTTTATAGTTTGAAGTACACTAATTGTATTTCCATCTCAGCTTATATCACAACACACAGTATCAAAATGTAAATGCTGTGCCATTTTTGGTATAAAATTGCTGCAAAATTGGTATATATGTAAATAGTTTATGTTTTTTGACTACTGATGATGCCTGAAGACTACATTAGTAATTTGGCTAATGGAAAGACATTTTTGTTATAGTAATTCTTCATAATTTGGATCCTATCAAAAGTATTAGATGGCATACATGAATGCTAGTGGGTAGTTTATCTTTGCATGGTAAGTATGAAAATTGTTGGTTTGGAAGAATATTATAATCATGAAATGATCCAATGGTTTCAGACATTTGTACTATATGGGAGTGGAAAAAACAAGTTCTGTGATGAATATGATGATGATTTTAGGATTGTTAGAAGAATTCTACGGTCATTAGAGTATTGATTACATCACGTCACAATTTGCTCAAACAGAAACGTGCAAAAAAATCAATCAAGAAGCGTTTTGTGTAGTTAAATTCTAACACTATGGAAATTTTTCTATATAAACAAAGAAGGTCGGAAGCGTGCATTATTCTACAACAATGCACTCATCATTCTTATTACCTCCCTGTGTATTTTCAAACCGACACATTAAAGGCGCAATTTTGTTTGTAAAATGTGATAAATAAAAAACAATTTTTTGTTGAATTTTGTTGTTAAAACTATCTAGAATAAAAGAAAATGGTCTAAGAAAATGAATCCGAACACCAATATCTTTAATTCAGTCGTTAACGCTGTACAGACTTTTAAAGTGTTTTTTTACATGACGTCACAATGTAGCACAAAACAGCACGTGCAAAAACAATTAAATCAAGAAGGCTGTTTGTGTAAGTTTTGTTGTATCTCGGAGACAGAACACTATTTTTTTTCTAACATTTTTATATCAAGGGAACAGAATATTCTATTTGATCAAGGTTTGTTTGTATGTTGGCAGCATAATATTCCATTTGTTCAATGTTGGTTTGTTTGTGGGCAGTAGAATATTCTATTTGTTCAATGTTGGTTTGTATGTTGGCAGCAGAATAGTCTATTTGTTCAATGTTGGTTTGCATATGGGCTGTAGAATATTCTATTTGTTCAATGTTGGTTTGTTTGTGGACAGTAGAATATTCTATTTGTTCAATGTTGGTTTGCATATGGGCAATGGAATATTCTATTTGTTCAATGTTGGTTTGTTTGTGGGCAGTAGAATATTCTATTTGTTCAATGTTGGTTTGTTTGTGGGCAGTAGAATATTCTATTTGTTCAATGTTGGTTTGTTTGTGGGCAATAGAATATTCTATTTGTTCAATGTTGGTTTGTTTGTTGGCAGTAGAATAGTCTATTTGTTCAATGTTGGTTTGTTTGTGGGCAGCAGAATAGTCTATTTGTTCAATATGCTCAATGTTTCATTTGTTTGTGGGCAGTAGAATATTCTTTTTGTTCAAGGTTTACATTTGTATTTGGTCAGCAGAATATTCTATTTGTTCAAGGTTAATATTTGTACATGTGTGTGGTTAGCAGAATATTCTATTTGTTTAAGGTTAATTTGTATGTTGTCAGCAGAATATTCTATTTGTTCAAGGTTAATTTGTATGTGGGCAATAGAATATTCTATTTGTTCAATGTTGGTTTGTTTGTGGGCATTTGAATATTCTATTGATTCAATTTGTCCAAGGTTTATATTTGTATGTGGACAGCAGATCACAATTTGTAAGAATGTATTCGATCTGAAGAGGCTTTTTATTGTTTTGCAGTGTGCTAAAGTATAAATTTAGGAAAATAGTTAATGAAATTTTAAGGAATGTGTTCAAGAGTTTTATAATATTATATGAACAAGACAGCAATTAAAAGTTAAAATCTGATTTTTTAAGAAATCTACATTTAATGACTTCCCACTCTGGAAGATTTTTTCTTTCCCATTGAGAGATGTCTGTCATTAAGTGAAATTATTTCCTGTATTTTATAACAAGTGGCTCCTGAAGACTTCTGAGATTTTAGAAAGTATCAAAATATCATTAGTTAGTTTATATTTAGATTTTAACCTTGGAAAGTGTTCAAGAAATGCTGTATTTGATTTTTTTCTAAACAACTGGAATGCCTTCTTTTTTAGATATGGTTAAGTGATTGATCTGTATTTACATAATATATAGTTATTTTAAATAGAAATATTCTAAGATCACATAATATTAAAATAGAAGTGGATTAAGATGGCATATGCTTATTTGACAAAAAATGTAAATGTTCTTGTCCATCTGTCATTTTTAGGGCAAATTTCAAAATATTTAAAGACCATGATCACTGATCAGACACTGCTAGATGTGCCATCTGAACATGATCTGCACTTGTCGCATAGTTAGATTCTGTAGCTGATTTCAACCAAAAGTTACATACATTTACTGACATTGAACTTTAACTCGGCTTTCACAATGGGCTCTGTTTTTTTACAGCAGTATAATTTTAAGTTTGCTGGTTGTTTTGCCTCAGTCTTAAAACAGACTGGCTGTAGTTGAAAAAGTCAGATTGATGGTTTGTCTAGACTCTTTGTCTTACTTCCAGACACATTTATATATCTCAATACTTTTTATCATCTAAATTAGTATTTTATTGTAAACTGTAGGTGTAGTATCTCGAATTTTTCAAAGAAAAAAGAGCAATTGCTACAGTCATTTTTTTGTTGCCATTGCAGTTGCCAATGCCATTGCTGTCCGAAAACTGTTACATTGGTCATATTTTATTCACATTGGATTGCCTCCATACTTGGACACAACAACCCTTTGGACAAGGCCATCAAGGTGACCAGACTGAACTTGACATTCACTCATATATGACCTTGACCTTCAAGGTCAAATGATTAAATTGTGCTTGATTTTAGCTATGATTGGCTATAACTCTGTTATTTATGAATGGATTGTCTTCAGACTTGGACATAATAATCCATAGGACAAGACCTTTTTTGCAGAATCAATTGATTATGACTCATCAATGACCTTGGCCTTAGCTTAAATTGCCATAACTTTGTAATTTATATAAGGATTTGATTTATACTTTGACAAAAAGAACCCTTACAACAAACTGACATGTTGAATAATTTTAAATGACATTGACCTTAAATTGACCTTGAAAGTGAAGGTCAAATTATTAAAATTTGCTTGTCATATCTTTGTTATTTATTTACACTGGGACAAAAGAACACATTTGACAAAACAGACATGTTGTATTTACTGATATGTGGCTGTTAACTGGTGGTTTAGGGAAATCACTTTTGGTTTAAGCAGGTTAAGGGCTTAAATTGTGCCTTCTGAACATTTGACAAAAATAACTTCATTATACTTGGTGTATGCCCCATGTCCAGATATTAAGTATTGTTCTAGTACATGTAACTAGTCAGGACTGATTCTAGTCAGGAGCTAACATTAACAAAGAAATGGTTTGAGCATCTTCCTAATATTGCCTCATGCTCTTGTAGGCTGGATTGCTGAAACTTCATGAAGAAACTCTTCTTTAAACTTCAGTAATTTGTTGAATCTTCTCTATCTAATCTGTACAGCATCTTCCTAATATTGCTCATGCTCTTGTAAACTTCATGAAGAAACTTTTCTTTAAACTTCAGTAATTTGTTGAATCTTCTCTATCTTCTGTACAACATCTTCCTAATATTGCCTCATGC